TGCGGCCGCGGGGGCTCGCCTTGGGGCGACCGCCGCCGCTATGGCGAGGGTGGCTGCCGGGGTTCAGGCTGGGGATGGTCTGCTCGAAAGGAGGAGGAATCAGTGTCGAGTGTGAAAGCGTCGAGTTCTTGATTGATGAACTTTGAAATGTATCACCGACAGGGGGAAAAGATGTCAGGCACTCAGCAAGCGATGGCTGGCTATTGATAAAACCGATCTCTCGCTCAAATGCGAAATTCATGGCCTTCAACTGGCAGCCCCCGCGGAGAAAAAGTTCCCTCGGATTCAGGGGGCTCGGGGGGGGGAAGGCCCAGGAAAAAGGCGAGAGAGGAGAAAAAAATATAGCATAGAAGATCGCTGGTGGGGTGTTTTTTTTCTAATTCACTGATTACAGCCGTATGGGGACCGTGCTACTATTAAACTATTGAATTCATGGAGACAAGGTTGAAATTGGACCGAATTGGCTGTCACATGATTGCCTCTGCCCAATGACAATTTGGGCTTTAATCAAAAGAAGCCACTGTCTGTTTGATTGATCCAAAAAAGTCGGGAAGGAACGCCTCATTGGGGGCCAGAAAGGCTTTATTTACACTTTTTTTAAAGAGGGAAATGATATCTCGAGTATCTATCCCCTTGGCGTCCTAATCTGAAATGATCGGCGGTGGGGGGGGAGGCTGCGTGTGCGTGGATATGTTTGTGTGAGAGGCTGCGAGTGTGTGTGTGTGTGGCTGCTTGTCCTGCAGCCTGCTGCCTCCCTCGCCTCCACCCGCACACTCTCCTCTCATTGTTTGGGACTGTCAGGAAAACGCTTTGCACCTCACAAATCATTTAAGCACCTCAATCTGACGCCTTGAGTCATTAACAAAGTAATCCATTAATCTTCAAAGTTTTGACACCGCCAGGCCCCCGCATAAGAAGTTGCACCCAGGCAGGAGGCTGAAGCAGAGGGTCTTGATTTTTTCCTAGGGAATAGCACTTCCTCCAAAACTACTTTCTCCTTCCCGACTCAGCCTCGATGGGCTCCTTTTGCTTTCCCTTTTTTTTTCTTGTTTGTTTCTTTTTTCTTTTCTTTTTTCCTTTTTTTTCTCCCCCCTTTTTTTTTTTTTTTTTTTTGGTGTAGAGCTATCGGGTGTACAGTACGGAGAACAATTGGCCGCCGGTGCCGAGCCATTGTTTAACAGGATCTTCCTCAGCAACCTTGCTTCTAGGGGAAGAGTCACATAGGCAGCAGCCCTTGTGCTTCACGACTTCCCTCTCCAGTTGGCTTCCCGGGATTGGACCGTAAAACATAACCCTAGGAGTACCTCTCTGGGCGAGCCAAATCGCGAGGCTGCAAACGCGTCTGGCTGTTGCCTCTTTAAAAAAAAACCCAAATCCTGTGCCTTAGCTTGCAAACGATACTCCCGTCTGCTGGCATAATTTGCTTAATAACCGTAGTAGGCTGGGTCTGGTGAGTATTTTCGATTACCAGGAAATATATGGGCTGGTAGCGGGTTTGTTTTCACGGGGCCAGGCAGAGCGAAAATGCTGCGGGCTTATGACTTGAGAGACGGCACTCGCCTCCGACGCTTGGCTCTCGCCGCCGCCGCCTCCAGTCGCCTCTGCTAGGTCGAGGCAAGTCCCGAATTTGGATGCTTTGGGCACAATTTTCCAACCAGGCTGAGGCGAGAGGGAGAGCGATGACAATGATGGCCTCAGTCACCAGCCTGATGAATCCTATGGTCGCAGCCGCCCCGGGCAGCCCGGACGGGGCTTGCCTTCCCGCGGAGCCCGGGGTGCCCGGCGGGGTGGGGTGCGCCGGGGGGGCCGGGGGGGGAAGGCGCTTCCGAGCCGCTCTCCGCGTCCTCCAGGAGCCAGGGACCAGCGCCAGCGCGATGCGGTGCCCTCTCGCTTTATTTTCGGAGTTGCCAAAAAGAGGTCGGCAAGCGTCTTCGTAATTAAAAAAAAAAAAAAAAAGAAAAAGAAGAAGAAGAAAAAGAAGGGGGCGGGGGGGGCAGAAAACAAGACCCCAAACACTCAGCGGATCAGTCTGCGTCCAGACTGCACGAAGTGCATTTAAAAAATCGGTTTTAAGTTAATGCACCCACAAGATGTAGCATATCTGCGAAGGCATTGGAGAGAGGGGGAGGGGAGGGGCCGGGAGGCTTTAAATGGGCTTTTTGGTGGTTGCTTGTTTAAATAAAATATAGAACGGGACTTGTCATTTAATCCCTCAAAAGGGATGCCTTACAAATATCGATGCTGTTGGAAAATGCAAGGGGTTTAATTTTCTTGCTTTTAGTCCAAACAAAGCTCTGGTGGTGTCTGTGCGCGATCAATCTTGGCCGCCAAAAGGTTTGACAGCTACTGGCCCTTAAGAACACATTTAAAGCTTCTTGCTCTTTCCAAGATCAAATGTGGCCGAGAAAAGAGGCAGAGCAAGAAACGCAAGTAAACAAGGAAAAAACTGCTTTTAAAATATGCTGGCAGAGGACTGGGCTGCTTGTGGGAAAAGTCCGTTTTTATTTTGCTTCTCAGTGCCTACCTTGGGGTCGGGCTTTTCTTTTTCTTTTCTTCAAATTTTTTTTTTTCCTCTCTGGAAAATATTGGGATTAACAGCAGGATGACAAATAATAAAGAGAGAGGTTTGGACTTTAACCAGGCTTTGTGAGTAAAACCTGTGTGGGTGTCTCTATTCTGCACATTTGTTTCTTGTGGTCAGTCTAATACAAAAACCACCTGGAACAAAACCTTTGGAGAGAGGACGCGAAATTCTTGGGCAAATCAATTACTTCTGCTTCCAGGGGGGAACTTTTAATCGGGCGAACCTTAAATGCAAAAATACAAATTCTTATTTGCAACCTACAGGCTCCGAAGAAGGGGTTGAGTACGGTTTCTGGAAAGAAGGGGGCAAAATCGCCTGTATTTTTCTTTCTTCGGAGTGGGAGGGGGGTGAAACGCCAAATTCCTTCTCTTTGAACATTTTCCTAAATGTAATTCGTGGTGCTAAAGGAGCCACGCAGTAAGAACCACCGACTGTACCGTTACCTTTTGTTGTATCTAACCTAACTGCTCCGAGGGGTGGGGGGCTGGCTTGAATTTTATATGGACGCTCATTTGAAACGAGCAATGTCTTGCAATGTTGCAAAAATTCTTCCTTCGCCTACAAAATAATAATCAGTCGTTGGTCCGTACTGGGTAATAATCAGGTTTCAATGAAAAATATCAGACTACATAACATTTCCTTCCACGGGTACATATCTATATATACAATAAATAGCACGGTGTAAATATATTTGCAATCCCTTTCTTTGACTGAGCATGCTTTATCTATTTATGCAGAAAAGCTCTATATAGATTCATGGATGCATGACAATGTTTCAGCATCAGGCAAGGATGGTTCTGGGAACAAGATAAAGCCCAAAGATTAATAATATTTCAGCATGAGACCAAAATGGCGACATTTTTTTTGTGCTCTAAAAGATACAGATGGTGAACAGCGTGCGTTATTATCTACACAGCATAGGAATATGTCTTTATAAACGTGCAGGGGTATATTTTACCCAGTCTATTAAGGTCCATTTTGATTTATCTTTCAAGTTTCAATCTAAAAATTACGGACATTTCGCCTGAAAGGAAAAAAAATCGGATTTAAGCACACGCTTGTGGGTTTCTGCCTTCCACCTCGAGCCTGTTCGGACTGGAGACCCCCGCGAGTGCCCGTTTGGGGCCGGGACAGTCACCCTTCTCAGTACAGTGTGCCCCCCCCCCCCAAGAAACACACACACACACACGCACACAGGCACACACATCCACACCCCCGCGGGAAGAGAGGAACACACGGCTCCCCTCCCCCACAGCTTCGGGCTGCGGTGGGGAGGGATGGCGGCTCAGCAAAAATGGAACAACAGCAAAATAAAATAAAATAAAATAATAATTAAAAAAAATATAAAATCCGCTTCTTGAAGGCAGAAAACGGCGGCGGGGGTGGCGGGTGGAAGGAGCCGTGTCCAGAGGCAGCCGTACTCGGCATCCACCCCCCAGCCGCGTTTGGGGTTTGGCCGGGGACCCGCTCTGCCAGCCTTGCTCCCAAGGGCCGGCGGGGCTCCGCCGCCCGGCTCTCCCCCGCTTGCCCAGCGGGCGAGCCCGGGGACGAGGCGGCCCCTCCACGCCCACGCGTGCCTTTATCCTGAGCTCTGCTCCCATGTGCTCCACGCACGCACACTCGTACACACACTCCCCCACACACACACCCGGCTGGCCTGCCCGGGAGGCAGGGGACCCTCCCCGCGCTGCTCCGCGGCCGGTCCCCCAGCGGACCCCCGGGGCGGGGAGGGG